TACAGTAAAAACATTTAAGATAAATTAAGAACTCTATAGCCCAAATTAGAAGAATGTCAAGAGGCATGTTCTCTAGAAGCCATGTCATTATGGCTTCTAGTGCAACACAGAAAAGCCCCTTCAGGAATATGCAGACTAAACGGCAGGGAGGAAGGGGAAAGCAYCAGTGCAACCCTGGCTTGGGAAGCAATGTCTGAACTGCAGCCAAGGAATGTGAGCTGAGTGGAAGAAGGGAGCTTGCTATAAGGAGACCTGGTATCCACGGTACAAGAGCACTCCTCCCATGGCTGTGCAACAAGAAGTGCGGTTAAGCTACTGAGAAGTTCACTGGTACAACTTCCACCACCCTTTTCATAAAAAGCTGCTTAAGTTGGTCATGTTCCCCTAATATGTTTAACAGGCCAAGCAGAGATCAGCTGTTTATAGACCAAACAGCTTGAAGCAACCCAAAGCATTAGTTTTGTCCCCCTAGAAACATAGGGGAAAAGAGGGAAGAAGCACCGGGAAACACTAGCACTTGGGGTCATCTYTCCTTCTAGGAATGCAAAGGGGCAGAACACCAAGTTCATCTCTTGCCCAATAAGGTAACWATTTTTTGAAGCCACTAGACAGGGCTGCAACTTGAAAATGCCCCGCACACCAAGCTCTCTAGAGGAGGTAACTTCCTTTTGGAATAACCCCAAATTAAGTTACACCTTAAGGCTCCACCTGGGGGAGCCCRGGAAAGAGCCTGAAAGCGGCAGCACTTGAGGGAGCTGCCAAGCATCTGCCAGCAACTGTTACTCCAGCGCGGCAGCAAAGCATCCTGTCAGGCCTCCAGGCAATGGCTGCACAGCTGCATAGGGCATCATCAAACATTCCTCACAGGAGAAAAGTCCAGCTCTCCCTCAACTGATAGCCAGCTCAGGAACAGTGTTAGTATTTGAATGATATGGAATCAGAGGGGAAAAAAAGTGTTATTTTTATATAATTAACAAATAAAGCCAGTGGAGGAGTGAGAATTGATTGATTTGCAGAGGGAAAGCACACCCATTAGAAGCTCAGCCACTCTCATAACAGCAGCATCCAAACACATCTAAGCAGACAACTTCATTTTTAAAAAAGGGAAAATCTTCATTCCAGGCTACTTTAAAGCAGGGGCTATTGCACATAGTGARGATGCAGAGGAAACCTGCTGGACTTCACCAGCCACACTTCTCCATCATAAAGGACAAGGATCCTTAAGAGCCTTAAGAGTTCACCCCAGTAAGGTGAAATTTCTTTTGGAAATATTTTCTTGGTTAAGCATTCTTACGCAGACATCCAAAGCCTCTAACCACAAAGAGACATCAAAGCACCAATGCATWTTCAGCAGCACCACGTTATTTCACCAGAAACATAATTTGGATCTTAACACAGATCTGTCAGTATGGGAAGACAAACTTTGGTGCAGGATATTAGTGCAACACAAATGGGACATCTAGTTATACTAAGGGACAAAAGAAAGGGGTGCAAGCAACCGAGAAGAGGACCTTCCTCCTAAATTCCACAGAGTCCATCACGATCCTTGATTTTTAGAAAAAAAGGTTCAAAGTACCAAAGCTACTCACCGCCTTTCCTTCACTGTGATGAAGGGATTTGAAGGCAACTTTAAAGCACACTCACACTACAAGCCAATGTAACTGAAGTACAGTTCTTAAACCAGACAGTGTGCAATGAATCCCTGCCAAAAACTTCTAATCGGCTCCATCAGTTCCTCCTTGGACATGCAAGACGTTACTAACATTTGAGAAACCATTAGTGTTCTCCCTTTGCTAACTAATCCAAATTGCATTGAAAGTCATTTCAGTTCCTGAAATTCCTGACTGAAAGTCAGTTCCTCTGAGAACTTACTTAACTACAGGAATATTTTCCACGTTAGTTTTAAGCATCTCAAAAAAAGAGAGCAACAAAATTCCAGAAAATCCCAATTTGCCAGAACAAGGTATTTTCCAGGTATTTTTGATCTCTTCCAAGATCAAAAAGAAAGGGTACAAATAAAGCTCAGGATACACCACACTCCAGAGCTAGAGCATTCACTCACGTGCGTGTCCCATGAGTGCAACTGGGCTGCACTCACAACTAAACTGGCTGCCAAACACTACAGCTAAGCATCCTGGACCCGAGACCTACACACACGCATCTGTACCACATTTTCTGTGCTAGGCAAGTTATTCCTGCTTCCTGTCGCCCTAGAATAGTAATAATAAACATAAATAGATGCAGCTGCATCAGGACAAATGACACAGTCTCCAATACTCGTATCAGGTTTTTCAAACCGAGTTCTGTGATTGTTACTGAACCCAGAGCTTCCTCGGAAAAAAAAAAAAAAAATCTTTGAAATGCTTTGAAATTTCAAGTTTTCTTTGAAATAAAGAAAAAGGAAAAAAAATCATGATTTACTTGCAAGTAATTTCTGAGAAACAGAAGAACAAAACCAAAACACACAAGTCCCAAAGCCATCAGTGCATGTCTCAAAAGAGATAACTAGAAGTCAACTAGAGTCATATTTTCAATCTTTTTCTGGTTCAACCAGAAGTCATATTTTTAAGTTATTTTTAACACCTTCTAAAACTAAAAGGCAACTCAAYCCCTCAAAGATGACAAGAACAGTGATAAAGAAATAAAACCGAAACACCAAAAGGGAACACCACGGACAACCAAGTGCACGGAGGAGAGCAAGGAGCCAAGGTGGGGGCGAGGAGAGGCGGGCGGCCGTGGGCGAAGGGGGCGAGCGAGCGGCCCGCTCGGCTCTGCGAGCCTCCACCGAGGCCTCTGGCCTCACCCAGCGCGGGCACACAGCCCCAGCGCTGCCCAGCCACGAGGCTGGGTTACAAGTGACGCGCCGGAACGCTGCTCCTGAGGGCCAGCACAGCAGCTCCTGCAAGCACGCGGGAAGAAAAGGCAGCGGGAATAAATTAATCCCGCTTTATAGCGGGGAAGGAACAGATTGTTCAGGTCCCCCCACAGATGAGGGAAATCCCTTGTTCGGTGTCTGAACAGAGAAGTCTATTTAATTACAGTAAATCCTATTAAACTGATCTTCCTTATAAAGGCTGAAGTGACCAGCTCCAGAAGGCTACAGACTAATGAATTCAAAGTTTAATTAGGACACACTGTTAGCTAACTATAATCTATTAATTAGCATTCTCCATTTTTACCGCTCGTTGCAATAACACCCTTTTACTTTTAAATCGCACCCTTCTTTTTTTGGACCAAAGTTATACAATCCCACCAGTGTGGTAGTAATTATAGTGATTGCCTAGAGAACAGCAGCYTGGAAATATCTGTTAATGTTTAATTAGGGAATAAAGGAAAGACAGGAAAAACACTGGGAAAGAGGAACCAGTGTTCTCCAACTTATACATATTCAGTAACCTGCCTTCCATTCCAAGTGATGCATTCACCATACTTTTCTCGCAAGTTTTCCACAGTATCCTCAAATATTGAAAATTATGTTTTAAATGTTTTGTCACCTTCTGCATTGCCCTCAGTATGAAAATGCAACTTTAGGACCAAACGAATTACAATATTTAGCTGCAACTGAAATACGTACAACAGGAGATGGTTTCAAGAGCAGATGATACCTTACGTTTCATTCGAACACAGTGCCAGCTTAATGGGAATGATTTTGCACTGGATCTTTTTTGTCACAGCAAGACATACTAGAATGAAGACTAAAATGTCGCACAAGCCCCATGCCATCAAGCTACCAGAAAACAAGAACATGGCTATGAAGCAGCATTAAGTTCACTAAATTATTTCATATTACCTCAGAAAAAGCAAATTGTTTGCTGCATCTAGTTCTTACAGAATAGACTGTTGGCAGTGCCAAAATGGCAGCAATCCAAATTAATCTACTCTTTAAACTATAGGTCACCTGAAAGGATAACACATCAAGTACTACAACTACTTTTTCTTCGAGTGTTYTCTCTCTCCTCTCCATCTTCCACAGCAAAGTCAAAAATAAACCACTGCCTGAACTTGGAAGTAAATCCACAGAGCTTCAAGAACACGACCACCTGGGAATTATGGAAACCATTTCTTTAAATTTTCTTGGATATTTTAAAAACTCAAAAGCAAAATTAGTTTTACTATGGTGAAAGAAGACTTAAAATTAAGGAAATGTCAGGAATGAGCCACYGGGCCCATGTTCCACATGGAAAGGGTGGTAGGTGTGAGAACAGGAGAAAACAGAGCTTTCCAACTCATTTAYGGCCTAAAGACAACTAAACAAACAGGAGAGAACACTAAGTCAATGATGAGTCATTATTTCAGAAGCAGCGGGAAAGGAGGGCTAGGTCAGAAAACTTGAGGGAGCAAAAAGCTCTTTTTTAAATGGGACAAGATGAAAAACAGACATAGATGCCCAAGACGGTCACACTCCTGCCTTTTCTCTAGCTAGCCAGACCATCTATAAACAACTGTAAGGTGCTTTATGACACTCCTATAACAAGATGGGCACAGCTAATAACAAAAGACTAGATAAGCGGGTATTAAAGAGCATTACTTAAGCGTAGGCACATTTATAACCATCTGCGAGACCCCCAGGTCTGGAAGTGTTAAGTAGAGCTCTAAAATCACACCACTGCAACACAAACTTTGTTTCCCTGGCCACCAGTCAGCATCCAGCAACAATACAGTTGTGTTTAGGGTCAGCAGTTGGTACATTCACAGCTCAGAAAAYGCTTCAAGTGGGAACACTATATGAGCGGGATAAAATACTTCCCAAGGGGAATACAGGGGGTWAGTATTGGTTCTAGACATGGCATAAGAATGATCACGAGTGGTGATCACCCTCAGGGGTGACTTGTAGTTCTGACAACAAACGTTTAGGCACAACGTTTCTCCTTCACACCAGTTGTGGGGAAAAGCACTAATATATTTGCCTGCAAGAGCGAGGCGCACGTTTGTTAAATTCATTTAATCCYGCTATTGCCCGCATTTATACACGAACACAACTGTGACATTAGGAGACAAACCTGGTTTTCTTCCTGCAAAACTCGGTACTGCTCCTTCCAAACAGTGATCTTGGAAGCCTCATCTTTCCTCAGGGCTCTCTCCTTTTTGAGCTCRGGGCTCCAGAAGGTCTTGATGCTATTCATCGACGAGCTCAGCTTGCTTTCCTTCACCTCCACGTCCTTGCGGAGCAGGTCGTTTTCCCGCAGCACTTCTTTGAGCTGCGTCTGCAGATCCATGATGGTGTTGTCCCTGGCCTGGCGCAGCGAGTGGGGCACCGTGGAGGCCATGCTCACCGGAGGCAGGTGGTGCTCCCCGAACGCAATGGTATCGCTGGCCACTCCGCTGCTGGCGATGTTGGGGCTGCTTCCCATCGCGGTCATCCTCACGCCGTAAGGCAGCCGCCCCCCAGACCGCCCCAAGGTCATGGTGCTTTTGGGGGTGTCCGCCCCTACGTTCTCGTGGTCGCTCAGGTACATGGGGCCGGACGTGGCGTAGGCAGCGTTTAAAGACTGGATRTTCTCCATGGAGAGGGTTTTGCCGCCGCCGGCGCCGCCGGCGCTCCCGGAGCCGCCCCCGGTGCTGTTGGTGCGGCGGTGGCCCAGGCGCGGCGAGCGCGGCAGGCGCGGCGAGCGCCCCGGGCTCTGGCCGCTCGCCTCCGCCTTGCCCACYGAGCGGGCGCTCCCGTACATGGTGGCGCCGGGGCCGCCCGCCGCTCCCGCGCGCGGAGAACGGCCGCGGGGCAAATCCCGAGGAGGTCCCGCGCGGCTCTACGTCAGGTTAAGGCCAGTCACGACTTGTAACACATCCACGCGTGCATCTTTGAAGTCACGTGCTCGTGATGCTCGGCACCATATCTGTATCAAGAGAGACGACACATTCAGYACCTCGTTTAGCACAAATATTTTGTTCCATTCCATTTGTTACATTCCACTACTGTTACATTTCTTCCGCACACTTTCAACATCCTCTTAAGGAAAAAAGATTTTAAAAATCCATTATTTGAAACCTAATATTTGAAATCAGAAAGGGACTTTCTTCCTATTTTTTCCATTACTATATTATCACAGTAAAGAGATAACACCCCCCATACAGTATTCATCAATTTTTAAGTCAAAAATTTTTATTTTTTAGTCAGGCACCAAGTTCTACAAAAGCAATCTAATTTTCCTATTAGATATAGCCCTTATAGGGCCCTTATATAGACATAACAAGCCCTTATCCTTTATCTGCTGCTTTTCTGAGCCAGAGGAGCAATCAAAACCAGAAGTCTATTCAATGGTTTGTGTAAGTACTGGTTGCTTCTGTAGGCCCTTAAGTTTCTAAACTCTGTCACTGTGAAAATAATCTGTCAAATGCAAACTCAGTATTTGGTGAAATAATTCTGACAGTCACTCAGCCAARTCTCCAACATAACTCTGAAATCTGCAACCAACCTGAGTAAAGGCCTATACACTTTTTGTTTATGGCCTTGGATCAGTTCCATCCTGCACTCCAAGAGCAGGGACCTCTTCAAAAAGCAGCAGCTCCACACAAGCAGAGCAACATGCTGTGGTTCCCTCCACTTGCTCCACATGCACTACTCTGGCGAAACATGCAATAAAATCCCTTATATTTCTATACTGACACTACATAAATAGTGTCCAAAGAGCAACATTACGCATATMCCAGCCCATGTTCTTTGGTACCACTTTTTGTCCAACCTATTTCCAGATATCAGGAATCATCCAAGTTTTCTAGGCCTATGAACGAGGGCATGCCTGCCAGACAACAACTAGGCAAGCAGATGAAAATTAGATTTAAAAAGAGGAGTACACTTAGAAAAAAAATTGCAAAACTGGTGGTTGTGAGACCAAAAATGATACTTAAAATGATAAAATACAATCATAAAAAAATAAGTCACATATAGAAAGTTTCTTTTATTTTACCCACACATCCTCATGCAAACCAGTGGAGAAATAACCTCTATAACAAAATCTACCATGTTTTGGCAGGCTGACTTCAATGATCAAGACACTGTGMCCCAGATCTGGGAGACAACATTCACTTTTTCCRAACAGAAAGAGCTATTTCAGACTAATCTCGGTATTTGAGACACCCACGTGCTAATAATGCTGCTGTGATACCAGTCGAGCACTTAAAATAAGTGACATRAGTTTTCTTAAGGAGGATGTAACACATTCTACGGGAGTTTGCATTCACGGCAAATTAACCCAAACCAAAAGCACTTAATTCATTTACTAGAAACTCAAAACATTAAATCCTTGCAAATTCTTATTCTCTTAACAGCTGACAGAGTAGTTATGTTGCATCCTGTACACCTTAATTAAAGCATYCTCTCCCAAAACACAGAAAATAGTGTTTTTAATACTGTTAACAGTAATGTTAACAGTATTTTTAATACTGTTTTAATATTGTCACTTTTTAATAAGCCAATCACTGCAAAAAGGAAAAAAATCTMCTTAGCCCCACAAAACTGCTTTCTCTGTGCTTTAGCTAGCATTTTGTCAACCTATTAATAGCTTTTCAAAGAGAGAAAGTGATTAATGTCCGTGACAGAAAAGTAACTTCCCACACAGCTGAAAGCAGCTGGTAGCACAGTCTGCTGTACAGTAGTGATGTGCCAACRTGCCATAAAATCAGACGCATTTTCTTCCACCTTAAGCCAAAGTAACAGTTACATACTAATTCGAATCAAGTTCTGTTTTGCAGGTCCMGTTCCTTCCACTACTCTAGAAAAATCAAGTTATTCAGAGTACAGACACCAGCTGCTAGGGTGAGGGGACTAGTTAAAACATAACTACAGTTACAGAAAGGATCCTAAGACCAGACACATGCAAAACTTGACTCTCCATGTACTCCAGCATCAAATCCATACCTTACACTACTCACTTTCCAAAAAGTCAATAGTTGCTTGAAACAAATACACACACCTGGTTTTGGAAACTGGAAAACAAAACAAAAAACACAGTATTTTTCTTGGAGGCTTAGCAATGAGGACTTCCATTAGACAGTTTTTAGACTTTACAATTGTGAAGATTATTAACTAAATACACTTTCCTCCCCATGCGGCCTTTATGTGTTTTCAGTGGTACAGAGATGTGCCACAGCTCAGCCCAGTGAGTGGTCTGTCACAAAATATATCAGCTTCCTTGCTTTGTTTCCTCCCTAGTACCATTTATCAGCCATGTCATTTTATTGTTATTAGGAAGCCAGTAGCAAAAGTAGATATCAAGACAATTCATAATAGCAAAAAACATCCCTCATCCTGCAAGCAGGAAGGTCAAAGAAGTGACAGAAATGCCTCTTCTCAGTCACACTACCAAGTGAGCAGCAGAGCAGCCCTTATGAGGGACTCCTCATATACATTTACTAGGCTATAAGTGAAAAGCACAGAGCCACTCAAGCTAGTGCTAACCAAGTTTACCCCTCAAAGCGGCCTGAACACTTCCACATCTCTGGGATCTAGATCACGTCAGGCATGGGCTTCTGTGCAAACATAAACTTCCAAAGAGCATCGTGCCTGCAAGCTAAATAAAAACCATCTCAAAAGATTAATCTCAGCCAAGGTAAAAACTTCATGTAGAAGCTTAGAATTTGGCATAACAGTTTTACAAGTATGGAGATACGTGATAAATGTGCTGGAGATTTAGTTGAAAATGCTCTGTCAGATATTCTAGAAAAGCTTGAGAGACATAAAGGTTATCAGAAGCATAAAAAAAAAAAAATGAGTTGCACAATATTGAGGAGAGATTAAAAAAGAAACACACTGATATGTTCACATTTTCTATTGGGAAGTGATAAGGTACCAATATATCTTTCCAACAGATTGAAGTGACAGGCAAGAAAAACATATTTAAGAAAAAAAGTCACAGGTAGCTGTCTAAAAATACTCAGAGATGAACATCATGAACTGTGAGAGCATGTTTCCAGTTTCACAATAAATGTTTAAATGGACTAAGGAGCAATATAAGGCAACCAAAATCTGTGCTGTAACAGCCTTGTCACAGTAAGTGAACAGTAATGGAGAATTCTGCCTCTTTCAATACTGCAAAGTGGGTACTATCCCAAGAAGAACAGCAATATCTAGAACCATCAATATATCCATAAAAATGTATACTCAAAGCAGCAAGAAAGCTGCCAACTTCTTGGAGGCTGCCAGGCTGAAGCAGTAGTCAAATGCAGCTGTAAGAGCGTTAGGAAGGGACTAATCAACTAACCCCTACTAACCTTGCCCCTAACTAACCTAGGAATAGTGCTAACTAACCTAGGAAGGGGCAAGAGCACTATTCCCTCCTGGAAGGTGAGGAAAAKGACAAGACCAGTAAAGCTGAATTGGAGAAGAATGTCTTTGTGTTTTCTCCCCCACACACTTACTTTCCAAGTATTCAGTAGATTTCAATTAAGTTAGCTCTTCCCAGCATTTCCAGCACACCACAAGCATAAGAAATTCTTCATCAATTTCAAGGCAGAGCTCTCGACAGAAGGAGACGTGTTTATCAACGCTGTCATGCTCAGCCCTGGCTTCCAGTATTTATGTGAAGCAACAGCTCCGAGGGCAAACGCCCTCGGAAAACCAGGCGGCGGGAACGCGACGTTCCGGCCGCCTCTGGAGAAGGGCTCTGGGATAGCGACACGTGAAGCCTCCCCTACTCCTCCCACTCCAGAGGGTAGAGTGGCACCACTGCAGCTACATCTGAGTTAGTCAGCAAGCCAAATGCAGAGAAACACACTGCAGGAGCATAGGCAGATCTCCATTTACAGTTGTAAAAGAAAAAAAAATTAAGGAGAATTTTAGCAGCCTTCAGAAAGTAACATTTTCTCCTTATTTCTCTGCAGCTTCAGTTCATGAGTGACATAAGTCAAAAAAGAAAACAAACACAAACAAACAAAAACACATTTGCAGAGCCAACTATGGAGCAGCAGGAGCGTCCCAGAGCCGGGAATCCGGCAGTGTGACCGCAGCCTCGGCCGGAGGGCCCATCTGGCAGGGCAGTAACCCTGTCAGTGCAACGGCGGCCGCGCACTCGGCTCCCCGCGCGCTGCTGAACTTGCCTGCTTCCCTGGGGCACTGAGCCCTGTTTGCACAAGGACCGCTCTGAATTTCAGCTCTGCAAGAGCAACAAGAGGCAGCCCTGGCAAGGGCRGCGTTCAGCAGCCAACAGAGCACAGCAGACACACTGAACTTCATTAGCAAACGGTAACAATCCTTCCTATTTTCGTGCTGTAATGGTTAATCAAGGAGAACTATGTTATAGAAAGGAACTCAGGCTCCAGAAGAAAGGGAAAGAAAGGGGTGAATTTGTGAAGAGAAAACGTTGCAGTAAAAATTGCCTGACATACCCTATTTGAGGGGCAGACAAAGGGCATGATGAGAGAACAGACAAGATTCCCAACTACTYACAGGTGCACGAGCCGAAACAAAGACAGAAGCCGTGAGATGCAGTGACTCGCTGGTGACATGGGGAGCTACAAGAGCTAGAGATGCTGCGTGTCTTTACGTAAAGAACGTGCACGTTCATCTTCGTACTGTATTACAGATTTCGTGTCTGACTTGKGTAGGAAGGTAAAAGCAGCTCATTACTTCTTTTGTTACAAGTGACTATAACACAAAAATGGATAGTAAAAAGTTTACAAGCCAACCAGTGCTGACAACAAGGCACTGAATCCGTGGCCTACGGGCTGTTGATCAAAATATTCTTATCCTCATGGCCTTGACAGCAAGGCTGCTAAGCAGGCAAAACAAAAATTGAGGCAGAAAAAGAGACAGAAATAGTAACTTTGCATACTATGATTGATTCTCATTCCTAGATACTCAGTGTAAGAACTGATGCCAAAGCACCAATGTGTTTGATGCTTTTCAAACATTTATCTTTTTAAAAGTTCACCTCCTTGAACATCTGCCAAACTYACCAAGAGCAGCAGTTCTGTCTCACTGACAGCAGAGCTGTCATCTGACACATTTCTCTTCCCTTTCTTAAACACAAGGAGACCCCAGAAAAAGAAATCTCTCAAAAATCGCTGAGAATCTTTAGGTGACTTGAACAGACTGAGAACCATACTTTTAATAAGGCAAAAATCCATGAACTCCGACCCTAACATCTGAAGGAAAACAAAGAAACAAACAAAAGCAGCCATTTGTCAGAGACAGTTTTTAATCTGAAGAGACTTTCCTGTTATATACTTGGAAAGTTGGAGGGTTAGCACAAACGGCATGCACGAACCTGGAAACAGACCCATTATACAGGTCTGTGTTTCTTCAAAAAAAGAAAAAAAAAAAAAAAACCCCACACAGATCTGCTTCCCATTCCTCTATTCCTAGAAAACAGTACAGTTTGAATACACCACCTCTGGATATCAGACACTACAACTACCTATTGGCTTCCTGGTTAATTTTAATCACCCTTAAGCGGACTTTTTCTTTCACCACATCTACTTATTCCACAGTGAGCACACAAATTAAAAGGTACAATGTGCTCTGTTCCGTGGCAACTTTTTTGAAGGTGCAGTTTCAACTCATGTTAGTTTCTTACAATTCCTGTAGTGTTATCAGCATAAAATTATATTTTCACCACCACTCCATTCCTTCATATCATCTTTCCCTCCCATCAAAGAAGGTGACAAAGAATGCTTATTTTAAAAACACAAGCATTTTAGCTAAATCTTTCCTTTATTCTTTGTTACAGACCACTTGCTCATAGGGTTTTTGTTTTGAGGACTCTGCAGATTAGCTGCAGCTAGAGGCAGAACACAAGGAAGGTGTCACAGTTATTTCTAAAGGTCTCAGTATTCCTCAAAGGCAGTTCTGTTCACAGCAGGCTAGGGGTTATCCTGGTCACTAAATTTAGGTGCCACAGCAACATCTTTCCCTTTGTGAGGCTGGATTTTTTTTCTGTCCTCCTCAGGAGAGTGAAGCACTTTTTTTTTTTTTTAAGAAAACCTAGAACTTGCATTTTAAGGCTTTCCAGGTTTGTCGGCAGCCTTGGGCACTGCTCAGGCACTTGTTCTCTGCTATAGCTTCAAGTCTCTTGCTCCCAGCAGGAAAATCACTACAGGATGGACTGCCTGTAGCGCAATTTTACCATGGACTCACCCAACTCCAGATGCTTGTTTGGGCTGCCAGGATGGGACCTAGTGACCCCCATGGTCCTTCCAAGTCCTATGTTTTCAACCCTGACACAGGTAAGCAAACTGGGACTCGTGCTGGGCAGCAAATTGGAGCTGACTACAAGAGTGTCATGTAAACTACAGCCAAAACAAGTAACAAAATTTGACATTTATTTTTCTTTTTAAATTATCTCAAAACACAAAAAGCAGCAGCAGTCAGAACACACACACATGAACTTACTAGTGATGAATTAGCTCCAACTAAAATAACCCTTGCCCTTCTAATCACATGGAAGATTAAGGACTTGTAGACATGATTTTTCTGTCAGCCTAATGCTAAAAAATTGAAAGGCCGATTATCAGTTTTTAGATTACGCAGCCAGCGGATACCGGGTGCCCGCAAGGCTGCGTCTCTTTGCCCAGGCAACACGTAACCAACTTCCCACAACAGTAGCGAAGATGCAAAGAAACCCAATGCTAAAACYAACCAAAATAGCTCAAAAGCACCAAGAAGCACCAACGAACCCACACAGACAACGAGCCCCAGCTCAGCACAGGTAACACCACTAGGTCCATTCGCAGAATTCTCCTCCAAGCCTTGTCCTGATGACAGCCACGCTGTGTGTCCCACGTAGTCACAACCTGCACACTAGGAAACACCACTGTTCTGAGCAGCCTTGGATCTCCCTGTCTCCCATGGCCATCCGCTGAGATGCAGCGGCCCAGGGAACCCTGCAGGGTTTAAGCCTTAGCTTAACCACCAGCAGCAACACAGACACACTGGTCACTGTTTAAATGCAGCAGCCAATTGGATTCCCAAATACACCCATGCAGGGCTGAGCACCCTGCACGCCAGACCTATGTAAGCCAGGCCTTTCACACCTACCTATAGCTGTCAAGCAGCTCAGCCGAGGAGCCTCTCATACCCGGAGAYGCTTTTGCAGGAATATCCTTGCAAAGCAACTGCCTGGAGATAGAGGGATGGGGGCACAGGGCACAAAGGGCAGGGCTGCATCCCAGCACACGAAACAAGCAGACAGCACCCGGAGCTGACACGCAGGCTGCAACAGCACTGTGAAACATCCTCTCATGATCCAGAACTGACAGCCAACAAAAAGGTGCTGGATGTGCAAATGCCAAACCTTGGGGTTTTCATCATTTTTTTTTTTTTTTGTTGGTGGTGGTGGTGGCCATTGGCTTTGTTTCTGTGCATGTGTGTCAATCAAGCTGTTAACCAGATGTTAGACATGAGAAATTATGTGAAGAGAATCAAATGGGAGCTTATGACAGGATCAAAGAGACAATGCTAGCACTTGTGAGAGATACCACGCCTTAATCAAGCCCAGAGAACCCAAATCCAAACTGAAGAAAACCTRTTAACATCCTTATATTCATGTGATGAGAGCTAAAATGTTTTCTTGGATGACTGGGTAATGGCAAAGTTACATCCAATAYCATGATAAACTGATGTTCTACCCACCAGCTCCCAAACTTTCTCTAGTTGCAGCTTGATGGAATCTGCCAACTCCAGATTTCTGGAATACATAGTAAAGTAATAAACCCAACTATTGAGGGAACTACTACTCCATACTAAAGCTCTGAACCAGCCATGCTTCTAAAACTAAACCATACTCAGTACAGCTGTCTCACCTTGTTATCTAATTATTAGCCAGGCAGTCTGGCTATTGACAAAACTCAATTACTGAGTTTTAACCCAATAAAGTCAACATGGCTTATACTGGCGTGGGCAGGGGGGGGKTATTTTTTCGCCTGTTAATCTTGCTCGCTGGGGCTGCAGACGGATCCGTGAGCCCGACGCGGGGCACGCGCCCCAGCTCGGGCAGGCGCTGGTGTGTGGGGCTGCAGGCTGGGGCAGCGCCGGCGGGGACGGGGGTCAGCCCCGCTGGATGCTGCTGCTGGCCACACGGCAGCCCTGGGGAGCAGAGGGGGTTACGGCCTCRGGCACCCTGCGCTAACTGGCCATTGTTTGAGCATCCCAGCTCTGCGGGGGCTTTTTTTCCCCCCTTCTCTCTCTTTCCGTTACAACCTGTTGGATTTAACATATTACTTGGTTATAACCCCCTGATGTACATCAAACGCCCCCCAAATAAGTTTGGATGGAGCATGAGACACACGTTGGCTCTGGGCCCAGTCCTGCTCCTGCCAGTAGCTCCTATTCCGTGGCCTCCTGCCCTGGAGCTCTCCGCAGGTCGGCCTCCCGCGGAGCCCTGAGGGTCCCTGTGGGAAACTGCCCCCGGCTGCGCCCGCACCCAGCGCGCCTCGCCCTGTTGCCACGGAGGGGTATCCCGGGCGCTGGACTCGCCACG